ACGCGCCCATCCACTAAGTAATCGGAAGAAGAGGAATATACATCCGTAGAAGGAGAAAAAAAATAAGAAGATAGGGAAGAAGAAGATAGGGAAAAGAAAAAATTGGATGAAGACCTTAAAAGAGGAGGAATTAGAGAAAGTAGAAGAATATAAAGATGAGGTAAAAGCAGAAAAACAACAGAAGAATAGGAAGTCGGTGACAACGAAGAAGATGATGACAATGAAAAAGGAAAAGAAAAAAAGAAGAAGAAAGAGAATAATAAAATATTGAAGAAGAAGAAGAAATAGAATAAAACCTAGAAGAGAATAAAATCAAAAGATGTATGAGAGGAAGAAGGAAAAGATGTGGATAATAAGAAGAAGACGTGAAAAATAAAAACCGGAAGAATAAGAAGTAAGAAAAGACATAGAAAATAAAGAAGAAAAACAAAAATAGAAAAAAACAAAAAAAAAGAAAGAAAAAATGATAGAGAAAAAAAAAGATAAAAAAGAGAAAAAGATGATGATTACTATCATACACTTATTAGTATGGATTTTAAAGTTTTTAATATTAGACAATGATTACTTTCATAGGTTAGTTTTATTTTAATTTTTTTGTATCAAACTGTTGATCTAATTCTTTTCGATTTATGACATAAAATATTGGTTTACGTTTCAATGAAACTATTCGCCTGCGCAAGGCGCGGACTAAACACCTAATCCAATTCCAAAGTGCTCTTAGACCAGTTTCATAAGACCATAAACATCACCGTCTCCACCCGCGTCTCTTATGATTAAAAAGCATTATTTTACTAACTGGAGTGTGTAAAAATGTTAAAGACGTCTTTTAAATTAGAATACTAAGAGACGGTTGTTAAAAATAGGTGAAGGCACGTGATTGGTTATTCAATTTGGGGGAAAAAAATTTATTCCTTTCTTCCTCATTTTTTTCTTCCTTTCTCACTCATTCAACCATGGACATCTAAAACAAATGGATTTCTTAAATGGGTCTTAAATTCAATATTAATATTAAAAAATAGTTAAGAAACCCTAATGAGTCTCAGCGATGTTTATGCTCTAAGTGTTTTGGGTGGATTTTTTAAGATATTTTGGATTTAAAAAAAAAGGAAAAAGGCCCAATTTTTATGGATTGATCTTTGCAGAAGGATTTTTAGGATTGATTCTAAAGGATTGTTTATGACATGTATTATTTGCTGATTGGTTGAGGGAATGAGACGCGTTTGTATTGAAGGAATTTTCTTTCTCTCAGCGAACACTTTCTCTCTCTCGGAGATTTTTCTTTTCCTCGGTGAAATCACGATACTTCCGATCATCCTCCAAAACGAAGACATAATCCGGGCTTCTATGAAGGATTCAGTCATCTGCGTGGCTCGGTAAGTCTGTTTTATCGATTTCAAAGTAGTTGTAGACATAGTTGTAAAAATTAGAATTTTGGGTTTGAAGATGGATTTGGGGATTTTTTCTGTAAGCGAGATTAGGCTAAATTGATTGAATAATAGTCGATATTAGGCTAGTTTACAGACATTTTCATTCATAGATTGTTTGAAATTGGTTATTTGTGGGCATATGATCTGTTTGTTTGTGTTCGCATATGCTAAGTTATTAGGTTATATGCTTTTGACGAGGGTACCTAGAGAAACAAAGACAGATGGTTCATGATGCTTGTTGAGAAGTTCTTGTTTGCTATATCACATAAACAAAGGTAATTTATCTTCATTTGTCTTTGTTAAATTACCAATTCCTTGTTTTTTTTATAAGTATGAAACAATGCAATGTTTGGGTTTGTGTTGATGTATGCGATAACAGTTCTTTGTTTTGTGGCTAGGTTAACTTCGGAAACTATAAGAGATGATCTTGGAAGCAATCAAGCATTTGTTCCAGTGATGATGGGAGGTTAGTTTGGTTCTTTCCAGTAAGTAGTAGTTAGCATAGATAGTTAGCTTAAGAGTATCGTTTAGATAGGCTTTTGGAGAAAAGGTTGATAGTTATTTGTTAGGTGAAGAGTTAAGAGTTTTGTTTGATTGATTGATTGAAATTGGTTTTAAAAGAGTTAAAGTTAATAGGTGAAGAGTTAAGACATTGATTGCATTTAAAACTTTCTGCAAAAAACACAAAAACTTTCAAAAGACATCAAAACTCATTAAAGAATTAAACCTTCTACATATATGAAAACACTAAACCGATTAAACCTTCTACATATATTGTCCTTTAACTACAAAATTTCTCTAAAACTTTCTGAAAAACACAAAACCGATTAAACACTTATCATTTCTTTCTTCTAAAAACCATTCCATAAACTTCCTAAACACTTTCACAAACTTTGTAAACAATTTTTTTTCTTCTAAAACCCATTCCACAAACTTCCTAAACACTTTCGCAAACTTTCTAAACAGTTTTTCTTTCTTCGAAAAACCATTCCACAAACTTCCTAAACACTTTCACAAACTTTCTAAACAGTTTTCTTACTTCTAAAAACCATGCCACAAACTTTCATTCCTTCTCTAACATTCTTTCCTTCTCTAAACTTTCTAAACTTTCATTCCTTCTCTAAAATTTCTTAACTTTCATTTCTACTCTGCATGGATTCTTCGAACCCATTTAGCAGCTCTCACAGACATTCTGTTTTTTTTTTCACAATCTCAAGATCTTGGATCATCTGAAGTTCCAAGGTTTAGCAGCCAAGTACCCGATCAGCCAAGTTTTAAAGAAAAAAGGAAGTGGTCGCCTGTGGAAGATGTGGTGTTGATAAGCGCATGGTTGAACACTTCTAAAGATCCAGACATCGGCAATATACAAAAAGCAGGTGCCTTTTGGAAAAGAAGCACCGCTTATTTCAACTCTTCACCAAAGCTTGCTAATGAACAAGATAGAGAGTCTGGTCAGCTTAAGCAGAGGTGGCAGCTGATTAACGACCATGTGTGTAAGTTTGTTGCTTGTTATGAAGCGGCAATGAAGGAGCAAACTAGTGGGCAAAATGAGAATGACGTGATGAAGCCAGCTCAACAAATTTTCTACAATGATCACCTCTTCAAGTTCAACCTTGAACATGCTTGGAGGGAACTTAGACACGACCAGAAATGGTGCTCTGCATCTGCGGTTAAAGAAGGTGGAAAGGGAAAAAGAAGGAAGCTTTATGAGACTTCAGTTCACTCTTCAAGCTCACAAACCCAAGATCAAGGAGATGATGAGTACCTGAGACAACTCACGCCAGAAGATCTTCAACGACTACTCGAAATTGGAGAGATACGGGGGTTTCCCGGGATATAAGAAGCATAGATTGTATGCATTGAGGTTGGAAGAATTTCCCTACCGCTTGGAAAAGACAATATACACGTGGTTCTCGAAAACCGGCAATTGTCTTAGAGGCGGTAGCGTCACAAGATCTTTGGATGTGACACATATTTTTTGGACCTCCATGTACCTTAAACGATATTAACGTTCTTGACCGTTCACCTGTTTTTGATGATATATTACAAGGTCGAGTTCCAAAAGTGCAATACTGGGTTAACGGACACAAGTATAATATGGCATACTACCTCACAGACGGTATTTATCCAAAATGGGTAACTTTTATCAATCTATTCAACTGCCTCAATGTCCGAAAGCATCGTGATTTGCTATTTGTCAAGAATCCATCCGAAAAGATGTCGAGCGTGCTTTTGGAGTTCTACAAGCTTGATTTGTAATTGTCAGAAATCCAGCTTTTTCTAGGATAAGGAAAAAATTGGAAAGATTATGCGAGCATCTATCATACTGCACAATATGATCGACAATATTATTGGCATACGAAATTAAGTCCGTGATAGAAAAATACATGGCTGATTGAAAGATGATTTAATTGAGCATATGTGGAACAAGTTTGACACTTCTCAAGAGTAGAACTAAAAGTTTTACAATTTAAATATATGTATTTTGAATTTATTAAATTTCATGTAATGTTTTAAAAATCTTGTTTTATATGAAATGTATGTATAAATTTAAAATTAAATTTAAAAATCAATAAAAAATTATTGAAAATTTTAATTATTTATTCTTAACAAATCCTTGAAGGGTTCACCAATGGAGGACTAGAATGGTAAGAGTTTCTTAATTCAATATTAAAAAAAAATTTATTAACAACCTCTCTTTGAATCTCTCTAATGTACATACTCTTAGTTTTTCGTCCTCGGTATTTGTGATGAAAGCAATATAAATTGAGTTTTATGTAGCCTGTTTCCATTTATTTTGAAAAATAAGGCAAAGTGTATTTCTTGCGTATTTAGCTATGATTTGAGAAAACACAAATTCAAAATACAGACTCTTATTGCTGTGCATACACGACAAGTAGTCAAGTAGGGTATACAATGTCAACTCGTGTTATGAAGCGTGCTATAGACGAATGCATAAAGACATTAATGTTGAACCTGAAGAGTGAACATAGACCGTTACTGAATCCTTTTAGAGAAATATTATGGATCCCAAATATCGGAGAGATGAATATGAGTTAGTTCTTTATCCAAAAAAAAAAGAAGAATATGAGTTAGTTCTCAACATGAGGAAGCACTAGTCCACGGTTAGATTGATTTGGCGTCTAAACGATCTAAACTATCAGATTTCATGGGCTCTACCCAAAAGCCGGTTCTGGCGACATGTATGCGGCTGAAAACATGATTTAAGGGTCGTAAATCCTGGATACAGCTAAATGTGTTTTGTAAAAGTTTTGGATAGAATCCTCCATCACCAATCACCATGGCTCATGTTCTTTTGCTTTATGATTACTATATAATATAGTACACTGTTGTTTTTCCTTTATATAGCATAGTTTATATAACATAATTTATAAGCCAATATGCCTTTACAAAAGAAGAATATTTTATTATAATTAACTTATTATCATGCACGTCGACAAATTCATGGGCAGAAAGATAAGACATACAAACATTAAGAAATGAATTCTTTTTTTTTGTTGGCTAAACATTTTCAATAAATGATATCAGAACAGCTACCACACGGACAACAGAACAAACCCGTGAGTTGGCAAAATAAACGAAGTGGTAAAAAGTTATAAAAAAAAAGAATCATTTTTAGTGGTTAGACCGTAAATTCAAATGTTTAAGAACTAATTTTTCTAGCTATTCATAGCAAAACACTTCGTTATTCATATGCGATTCGTATGCGTATGGCCCAAACTCTGTGCAGCCCTGACTATGAAGTCAATCGAATGATGATGAACTTCGACTACTTAGTTTATAAAATAAAATAAAAAATGGAAGAGAAAATTAACGTTCCGTAAGTGATCAAAACTACGTGACCAACCCATGTTTGAACTTTGACGTATGCAATTGAAGGATACGTTCCACCTAAAGGTTTGGTAATTAGCTTTCGGCTCCACATGATCTTTGTTCTACGAAGTGTTATGATCTTTAGTCAAATAATATTCACTATTTTGTGATCTATTTTGACCAAGAGATATATGAATTTAAAGATTCACATTGTTTTTTTTTTTTGAATAGAATGTTAAATTTTATTTAAAGAAAAAAGACTTTTTACAACACGTCTTTAAACAACGATTGAAAAGTTTTTAAAACTGATTAACAATTTAAACGGGTGGTGGGTTCCTTCTTGTAGCAAACCAGATGCAAAGACCATCTTCAAATTGCCTTGCACTATTTGTTTTCAGAGTGCTTAGTCTGTTCTTCATTATGATGTCAATCCTCTTTACTAGAAGCTTCTTCGGCGTTATCTTTTCTCTATGTCTGCGATGATTTCTTTCGCACCAAATAGTATGGATAGTGGCTTGAAAAATATACCGCAGAATGAAGGAAAAAACTGCATTATGCAGAGGCTGTGTAATAAAGACTATCAGCTCCGACCATGTCGATGTGAAATCAGTTCCCATAAAGTCTCCAACCAGTTCTTCCCAGATCGCTTTTGTGTAAAGACAGGCAAAGAAGAGATGTTCTCTGCTTTCTAATTTTTCATCGCAGAACGAGCAACTAGTGTCAATGTTTCCATTCCATTGTTGCATAAGAGTTCCTGTTGCGAGTCTGTTTTTCGCCGCCAGCCATGCCATAAAAGCAAATTTAGGAGTTGATCTCGAGAACCAAATGCCGGGGCAAGGATCCCAGTCATTCGGTTGACGCATCAAATCCCCTGTTTCTTTGGCATTAAACCTGTTTTTGTAATTGTTGCTTTTTCCTCTCCAAAGCGGCATATCCTCTGCATTTACCACTCTTTCCCATCAAACTCATCTGATTTTTCATCCTCTATCTGCGACAGAAGGTGGCTTCTGTGGTTTCTACACCGATCTCGATCCAAGACTGTTCCAAGAGTAGCATTGCTCTGAATTCCAAGGTCAATACTGCCTCTCCGACCCAGTTTTTCAAACAAAAAACCCAGCTGAGACCAGTTTTCATACCAAAAGGATACTTTATATCCATTCCTTATATCTGTTTTGTAAAAATTATTTGCTAACTCACGGTACTTAAGGATTTTCTTCCAAATCCAGGAGCCAAGCGTTGTGTTTTCACTCACTGCCCAAAAGGAGTTCTTCCTGATGAGATGCCGATGAACCCAATTTACCCATAGAGAGTCTTTTGCTGAGAGGATCCTCCATATGAGTTTAAGCACACAGACCCTGTTTACCATCTCAAGTGGCTTTATTCCCAAACCACCTTTTTGCTTTGGGGAACAAACTATGGACCACGATACCTTTGCTTTCCTCCCATTTAGATCCTGTCCAGACCATAAGAAAGCAGCACAGATCTTATCCAACTCTTGAATGCAGGCTTTTGGGAGTCTAAAAGCTGCCATCCAAAAGTTAGTAAGGCTAAAAACCACTGATCGGAGAAGCTGCAGGCGACCCCCAAATGAGAGATGCTTTGCAGACCAAGAGTGAATCTGTGCTCTGATTTTTTCGACAAGGGGAATATAGTCTAGCTTGCTCATCTTGCGTGTGAGTAATGGCAAGCCAAGGTATCTCACAGGAAGGGTACCTAGCTCAAAGGGAAACTCTCCAATAATTTCTGCTTTCAGAACATCCTCTATGCCCGCCATATAGACTGACGAATTCTCTATACTTATGTGTAAGGCAGAGTGAAAAGCAAACCAATCAAACACCTCCAAAGCTCCAACAATGGGCTGTTTATCACCTTTGACAAACACCAGTAGGTCATCTGCAAAGCATAGATGTGTGAGTTGCATTTCCTTATATCCTGGGTGGTAACTGATTTTTCTTTCCAAGGCAGCTATGTCCAGTTTATTTGAAAGAACATTCATACAGATCACAAACAAATAAGGAGACAAATAACATCTTTGTCTCAGTCCCCTTGCACTCCCAAAGTAGCCTGCAAGCTCACCATTCACCTGCACCGAGAAAGATGCTGATGATATACACAATCTGATCCAATGTATGTACTCCTCTGTAAATTCCATAGCCATTAAAGTGTTTAGTAGAAAGTCCCATTGCACAGAGTCAAAAGCTTTGGAGATGTCTATTTTCATGGCACATCTTGGGGTTAGGTCCTCTTTATGGTAATCTTTTACCAGTTCAGTGGCTAGAAGCAAGTTCTCCATCAGCAATATATCTTTAACAAAAGCTGATTGATTAGGAGCAATGAATTAAGAGAGAATGATCTTCAGTCTGTTGGCCAGAATTTTGGAGATGAGCTTGTATATCACATTGCAGCATGAAATTGGTTTATAGTCCTTCATTGTTTTTGCTTGTTTCTTCTTCGGAATTAATGCTAGGATTGTTGAGTTCACTCCTTTTAGTAAAAATCCCAGATTGAAAAAAGATTGAACAGCAACCAAGAGATCCTGTCCTACTACATCCCATGATTCTCTGAAAAACTCAACTGTATAGCCATCTGGTCTTGGGGATTTATCTTTTAGCATAGAGAAGAGAGCTCTCTTGATCTCTGCCTCATTAACTTCATGGGTAAGCAGGGCTTTATCAGTCTCTGCGCATTCAAAGCCGATCAAGTCTTTAAGATCTTCAATGTCACAAGAGGCATAATCCGATGGTTTGATATTTAGAAATTCCTCAAAGTACTGAGCCGCTTCCTCTTTAATGCCAGCAGCATCTGAAACTGTACGACCATCTACACAAACAATCTCATTGATTCTGTTGCGAGTCTCTCTAGTCTTTACTGCTTTAAAGAAAGCTTTTGTGTTCTGGTCCCTAGCCTGCAACCAAAAGAGTTTTGATCTTTGCTTCAATAATCTTTCTTCAATATCAGCCATCTGACTCCATTTCTCATATGCCAATCTCTCATCTTCGACCGCTGGACTCGTCGCTGAAATCATTGAGATTTCCTGCAGTTCACAAAGTCTTTTGTATGCCTCCTTTGTCTTTTTTGTTATTCCACTGACCAAATCTCTACTCATTTGCCTCATAAGCGGCTTTATCCCTTTTAGCTTTTTCGAGAATCTGAACATTGCAGATGTAGAATGGTATAAAGAAAGAGTTCTGTCCCAAGCTTGCTTAATGTTGTCTTTAAACCCGTGAGAGTTTGTGACAGCATTAACAAACTTGAAAGGTCTTCTTTTATGCTCCTCAACTGCCTTTAAATGGATTCGACACCTCAGGTGGTCAGAACAGCCGCCTGGTTCAAACACACAGTAAGATTGAGCCATCTTATTTATCCATTCATTATTCACCAAAACCCTGTCCAGTTTTTTTGTTGATCACCCCTCTGTTTTTTATTTTATTTAAACTTTCAATTGTTTACATTAGCAAAGTTGTGTATTTGCAAGTTTAGTTTTATGTTTGAGGCCACAAAAATCTCTAAAAAATGTTGTGAAAACAATTATTCTTTCTTGAATAAAATTTAACATTTTATTCAAAACAAAAAAAGTTGTGTATTTGTTTAAAATGAAAAAGACATGATTATTTTCTCAGTTTTTGTTTTGTTTTGGGTTAAAAACGAAAAAAACATGATTATTTTTCTTGTTTTTGTTGATTGGTAACCTGCAGAATGGCGGAATTGTTGGATTAAGCTTGAAGTTATCTTGACTTGCAAGATATTAGGAATAAGAAATATTCTTAGGAGTTATCTAGGAAAAATGAAATTTCTATTTCTATGAGAATTAGGAGTTATCTAATCCCTCTCTGTATAAGGAGATATCAACTTGTGATATAACTTAATAGAGATTGAGGGCTTTAGTTTTTGAGTTAGTTTTCTAAAGCAATAAGAGATTTATTCTTATACCTTGAGTTCTTAAGTTATTTAATCGATATTGCAAACTAGATTTGGTATCAGAACCTTATCAAATTCACGAAGATAAAAAAAATATCCAGCCATGGGAGACTTAGTACCTACGACAGAAAAATCCAAGGAGGGAGGAAGCTCTTCCTCTATTCAATGCCTATGCTTACCACAACCAATTATACGGTGTGGACTATGCAGATGAGAGTATGTCTCAAGGTACACAAATTATGGGAATCGGTAGAACCAGGATCAGCGGATGACGAGAAGAATAACCTAGCCATGGGTATATTGTTTCAATCCATACCAGAGTCGCTTGTCCTCCAGGTCGGTGAACTTGATACAGCAAAGAAAGTTTGGGAAGCAGTTAAAACAAGATACGTTGGAGCAGAAAGAGTAAGAGAAGCTCGACTACAGACATTGATGACCAATTTCGATCGGATGAAGATGAAGGAATCAGAGAACATCGATGACTTTTCAGGAAAGTTATCAGAGATATCATCAAAGTCTGCAGCACTCGGAGTAAGCATTGAAGATTCCAAACTCGTGAAGAAGTTCCTCAAAAGTTTACCTCGGAAATACATACATATAGTGGCCTCCCTGGAACAAGTTTTGGACCTGAACACCATTACCTTTGAAGAGATCATAGGGCGGCTGAAAGCTTATGAAGAAAGGATCTCCGAAGACATTGAAGCGCAAGAAGACACAAACAAATTAATGTATGCAAATACAGAGGATCAAACAGGGAAATCTAACCGCGATTACAACAACAACTGGAGAGGAAGAGGTCGCGGAGGTAGAAGAGGCAGAGGTCGTGGTCGTTCGAACCAATGGAGAAATACATCGCAGATTACATGTTATCGCTGCGACAAGATCGGCCACTACGCCTCCGATTGTCCTGACCAATTGCTCAAACTTCAGGAAGCTCAAGAAAGCAACAACAGCAAAACACAAAGTGCAGATGAATTGTTGATGCACGAGGTCGTCTACCTCAACGAAAAGAACTGCACACCAAGCGAATATGAGACAAACTCAGGAGATGAAGATCTATGGTACCTTGACAATGGCGCCAGCAATCACATGACAGGTGATCGAAGATACTTTTCGGATATTGATGAGACAAGAACAGGAAAAGTGCGTTTCGGTGATGATTCTCGGATTGATATCAAGGGGAAAGGATCCATCTCATTCACCATATGAATGGAGAACCAAGGATGATGACAGATGTCTACTTTATTCCAGATTTAATGAGTAACATCATAAGTCTCGGGCAAGCCATAGAATCCGGGTGCGACATAAGGATGAGAGGAGATTGTTTGACAATGGATGATGAAAGTGGAAACCTGATTGCCAAATCAAGTCGATCGAAGAACAGACTTTACAAAGTCCGTATGGGAATCAGAGATCAACAGTGTTTGCACTTGTCATCAATGAGCGAATCAAAGAGATGGCACTCGAGACTAGGACATGTAAACTATGAAACAATCAAAAATATGGTGAATCGAGAGCTGGTTCAAGGAATTCTCAAGATGAATTTTGAAAAGGAAGTATGTGGTTCTTGCCTCTTAGGAAAACACGCGAGAAAGGTGTTCCCACAACCAACATCATATTGAGCAAACAAGGCACTTGAGCTAATACATGGCGATCTCTGCAGTCCCATAACACCAACTACCTTAGCCGGGAATATGTACATATTTGTGCTTATTGACGACTTCACCAGATACATGTGGACGATTCTTCTCAAGGAAAAGGGCGACGCGTTTTCAAAGTTCAAAAGATTCAAAAGATTTGTCGAAGCTGAAGCAGGAGAAAATATTCAAACATTTAGAACAGACAGGGGAGGAGAATTTACGTCAAGCGAGTTTAACTCTTTCTGTAATGCCTCAGGTATAAAACGACATCTCACTGCACCTTACATGCCTCAGCAAAACGGGGTCGTAGAAAGACGAAACAAAACTTTGATGGGATTGGCGAGAAGTATAATGAAAGACATGCGATTACCAAATTTTCTTTGGGGAGAGGCTATTAGACATAGCACGTATCTGTTGAATAGAGTGGCGACACGAGCACTGAAGGACAAGACACCATACGAGCTTTACCGGAAAAGAAAGCCGAACATATGTCATCTTAAGGTTTTTGGGTGCATTGCATTCGCTAAGGTGGAGAAACCAATGTTAAAGAAGCTCGATGACAGGTCTCGTATGCTTGTGCATCTCGGAACAGAGCCTGGGTCAAAGGCGTATCGATTACTTGATCCCCAAGCTAGATTGTAGTGAGCCGAGATGTAATCTTCGACGAGACAATGGGATGGAATTGGAGCTCGAAAAACCCAGAAGAAAGACAAGATGGAAGCTTCAAAATTGTATTTGGAGAATTTGGAAATCGCGGTATCCAAAGGACAATTGTAGAAGAAGCAGAAACAGAGCATCACAGCGAACAAGATAACGATGCAGAGGAAGAAACAGAGTCTGTCGAAAATCACATCGAAGGCGATATGGATACATCGATAACTTCATACGAGCAAGGTATAGAGGTTCAAGATGATGACATATCTGCAGCACAAGGTCTTCGAAGATCAACAAGACTATCAGTAAAACCAAAATACTTGGTGGAAAATTACGTCTTACTTGCAGAAGAGGAAGGAGAAAAGCTGCTCATGTGTTTAAACGATGAACCCACAAATTTCAAAGAGGCAAAAGACATAAAAGAGTGGAGACTTGCGTGTGAGGATGAGCTTCAATCGATCGAAAAAAATCGAACCTGGACTCTTGTCGATCTACCGGTTGGAGTGAAACCCATAGGCTTGAAGTGGGTATTTAAGCTTAAGCGAAAATCTGATGAAAGTGTTAATAAACACAAAGCTCGATTGGTTGCAAAGGGTTATGTACAACAGTATAGTGTTGACTTTGAAGAAGTTTTCGCACCAGTGGCGCGACTAGAAACAATACGACTCCTCATTAATCGGGCAGCTTCGAACAGATGGGGAATACATCATTTAGATGTTAAAACAGCCTTTCTTCATGGAAAGTTAAAGAGACTGTGTATATACTCAACCAGAGGGTTATGAGAAAAAGGGAGAAGAAGACAAGGTCTACAAGTTGCATAAGGCTTTGTATGGATTAAGAGAGGCACCAAGGGCATGAAACAATAAGTTAAACCAGATATTGGTGGAACTAAGATTTACAAAGTGCTCGAAGGAACCATCTGTGTACCGAAAAGAACTCGGTAAAGATCTCTTGGTGGTAGCTGTATATATGGATGATCTTTTCATTACAGGATCAAGCAATGATGTCATTATCGATTTCAAGGCCGAGATGTCTTCAAAATTTGATATGAGCGATCTTGGAAAATTGACGTATTACCTCGGAATTGAGGTCTGCCAATGCGATGAAGGAATATATTTATGTCAAAACAGGTATGCTTTGAAGATATTAGAAGAAGCAGGAATGAAGAACTGCAACCTGACACATACACCGATGAAACTCGGTTTGAAGTTGTCCAAAGCAGAGAACGAGAAAAAAGTCGATGCAACAAGGTATCCGAAGAATGTAGGCTGCCTAAGATATTTGCTGCATACAAGGCCAGATATGTCGTACTGTGTAGGTGTCCTAAGCCGTTACATGCAGAGTCCAAGGGAGTCGCATGGAGCTGCAATGAAATACTGCTTGCGGTATCTACAAGGTACTACATCGCTTGGCCTTGTCTTTAGGAATCCGAGCATGAAGATACCAAAGTTACTTGGTTACAGCGATAGTAGTCATAATATAGATCCAGATGATGGAAAGAGTACCTCTAGATACATATTATATCTTGGAGACAGCCCTATAACATGGTGTTCTCAGAAACAAGAAACAGTGGCGTTGTCATCATGCAAAGCCGAGTTCATGGAAGGAACAGAAGCTACACGGCAAGCTATATGGTTACAGGACTTGTTGTGTGAGGTCACTGGTACGCCAAGTGAAAGGGTTATCATTCGTTTAGATAACCAGTCGGCCATTGCCCTCACCAAGAACCCAGTATTCCATGGAAGAAGCAAGCAGATACAAAGGCACTATCACTTTATAAGAGAATGTGTTGAAAGCGGGCAAATTGGAGTTGAGCATATCACCGGAACAGAACAGAAAGCAGAAATTATGACTAAGGCACTTGGAAAGATTAAGTTCAAAGAAATGAGGGATCTTATCGGTGTCCAAGAAGTGACAACAAAAGACTTCAAGCTTAAAGGGGAGATTGTTGGATTGAGCTTGAAGTTATCTTGACTTGCAAGATATTAGGAATATGAAATATTCTTAGGAGTTATCTAGGAAAAAGGAAATTTCTATTTCTATGGGAATTAGGAGTTATCTAATCCCTCTCTATATAAGGAGATATCAACTTGTGATATAACTTAATAGAGATTGAGGGATTTAGTTTTTGAGTTAGTTTTCTAAATCAGTAAGAGAGTTATTCTTATACCTTGAGTTCTTAAGTTCTTTAATCGATATTGCAAACTAGAGGAATTACGTTTCTAAATACGATTCTGTAGATTTTTTGCTAATCAACAAAAATCCGTGGAATGAGAAAATACACACAAAAATGCAAACTGTGTTTTCGCTTAAAAGAATACAAAAAGGGTTGTTCCACAGAAAAACGATTTATAAATAGATTCATTTATTCTGCAAGATTCTTTCCGTCATTCCGCAAGATTACAAATTAAAGCCAGTTAAAGTGCGCTCAGAAACTATAGATCTCTTTGCTAATAAAAATTAATTTTTTATTGTTTAATTTGTAAATGTACTTTATTATAAAGAACACAATAATCATCAATGATTAATAATTCACCTCTCCCACAGATTCAATAACAAACGAAATATCCATGAGGAAAATATTACAAGCTTTCTTCACAGATCTAAACCCAAATTTCCAGCTCGTCAGTTTATTTTGGTTAGACGAGTCAAAGATCAACCCGTAAAAAAGACTCAATATTGAGCTTATAGGACCAAAAATAAGAGAAAATATAGGAAAAACATCGAAGAGTCATCAAACTAAAGGAAAGAGAGAGGATGATTTAAAAAAAAAGGAGAAGCTACAAAATTTATATATAAAAAAAGAACTTCATCTTTAACCATCTCCATCTCCATCTTCTTCAGCTGACTTCTTCTTCGTTGTCTTACCTTTCCTCCATCAAGTTGTTAAAACTATTGAGATCTCACCGGATCATGGAAGTGAGATCTTGAAAGAAGAGTTCGTCACAAGGAATGGTAAGACCCATGTCGTGATCAAAGCCAAACTCTTCTTCAGCTCTTCTAAGGAGACATTGGAAGTCAAGATTGGTCAAGAAGGAGATAGGGACTATGTATCTGCTCCTATTGTGACCTACGTAGACAGGGAAGTGCCCCTTTGGTACGTCAAGAGGAAGATCATATTGTTCATATCCTCTTCCATTTTTCTTACCCAAGCTGGAACATCTCTTTAGAATCTGCTTGAGCATTGCTGTTTGAGCTAGTTTTGTAGATCTTTTGAGGATAGCCATTTTTTCTTTTTTTGGGTGATTTTGAGATAAAGCTTTTGGTTGTGTTTGGAGAGAGAGAGAGAGAAGGATAGAGTTGGGTGAATATTGAGGGGTGAGGTGTATATATTTATAAAGACATGCATGTGTTGTGTATGACTATGTCTATGAGAGAGCAAGTGAGAGATATGTGTAGAAGCCACAATGGCAAAAGACATTTAGAGGTCGTAACCATTTTGTGTTGGTCCTATTATGACACTATGGTCCCTTTGATCTCCACCTGGTTCATACCAAGATAACCCATAAATGTATGTGGATTTATTTCTTGTGTGTAGTATCACTTGAAAGTCTGGAACACAACGTTTAAAGATGTTGGAAGTGGTGATCAATTTCTTTATTAGTAGTCTGATCTTTTATTTAATGGTATTGGAAAGAACAACTGTAAGTGAATTTAAACTGATTTATATGACCAAATGACCAATCATACAACGTGTCAAAATATATGTTATTGTGATCTTTTATATATTTTTGGTGCGTTGCAACATCTAAACTAATGGTACAAGTGCTTCATATTATTCAATATATTTTCTGATATTTCATATTAATTCTTAATCATTGAGTTATAGAAAGAGATAGTGATAATTTTAGAGTTTTAAAAAAAATTGCTACTGTATAAACTCTATAAATCGCCGTTGTACACATATGCCATTGACATGTAATAGATATTCATTTAAAAACTCTATAAACTGCTATTTACTATTACAAACAAGAACGATATACTCCTTAATAAGTTCCTTTTACTCCTTAATTTAATACTTTCAATTTTCAAAATACCAGAAAAACAATAAATATAAATTTTCCGAGGAAAATTATAAACCAAATTAACAACCCGTAACTTATTTTGATAACCAAAAAAATTCTATAAAAATTTCATAAATATCTAATAATCCTTATCAAATGATTTTAGATCACTTCTTGAACGTTATAAAATTGAAATATATTGTTTTAATAATTAAGAGGTTTTAAGTCTAGGCTTGTACATCCTCTCATAGCAGAGCAAAACATGTTATATGGTTTTGTTCCAAAAGCCATTCGAATTAGCGACTTCTAGGCTTTACCTAAAATTTTTACTAGTTGAACTATTGATTATTGGTTAATATTGACATATTTTCTCCGTCCATAATTTATAACTTTTAAACAAATTATGGACAAATATTTATTCTACAAACAAATTATATGTTATTTTGCCAAATAAAATATTCTTTTTGTTTTTTTGAAGATTTTTCTTAACTAAAATAAAAGGAACTTTTTTGCTCAAGATATATATATATATATATATATATATATATATATATATATATGTTTGAAAGAACCTTTCAAGATGTGTCAATTCGTGTCCCTCTACCTGCAGAGTAGATGTGTCGTTAAAGAGCGTAAATCACGGACTTTGTAAATAGCAATGTACTGAAGAGTACAGAGCAGGGCAGGATTTGTGGTTAGGAAGAGCTTGTGACACTTTCAAACAAATGTTTTTATTTATAGTTACTATTTTAATTTTTCTTCTGCACAAAACCACCCATGTGCTCTCTCCTCCACTTCTTTTGCTCTTTATTTTGTTATCGTTTCTCAAAAACTCTGAATCTCTCTGTCCATCTTTTCCAACGTTAGGGTTCAGTTATTCCCTATATTTCAGCTCTTCAAACTGGCATAGTAGTTCGTGTATAAAAAGATAAAGTACAACCAGTGGATAATTTTTTTCAAGACGGCTATTTATTTTTATATTATTTTTGGTTATCAAAAAATAAAATGTTGTTCCACCTAAAAACGTGGGAGGTCAAGAACATGCATACTCGGAGCATTATTACATATCATACCAATACAATTACTATTAGCATAGCGATTATTTGAACACAGCAGAGAAGTGTATAATGTAAAAGACAAATGAAAATGTAAGTAAGTGAATCCATAATCTTTTAATCTCAATCTGTATAATAAGAAACCACACTTACGAGGAGGGACTAATCGAATGGTTTTCCATCCGACCATAGAGAAGACTTCATTAACAAAGGAAATTTCGACTTGCTATTCAAAGTATTTTTTATTCAATGTAACTTAGCTGATCAAAGAAAACAAAGACGGAAGCATTCATTTAAAAAAAAAATGGATTAAATAAATTTTACATTTAATTTAAAAAAAAAAACTAAGTGTAAGAATTCTCTCTCACCCGCTTAAAAACTAAGCCTTAAACAACTTCTCTTTAACATGATAAACCACCAAGACATCAAGACGTAAACTCTAGTATAATTATTTTAGTGTTCAAAAACTTGCTTTCAAAATTTGTTACAAAAAAAAAAACTTGCTTTCAATTAAACAAAAATTGTATGTTTCGATAAAAACATGATTTTAAAAAACAGTTATATAAAAATGAAACAGAAAATCTCTCGATAAATAGACAGCTTTCCATAATTAAAGGAGCTGATTTGGTCAAAAAGCCATATGATAAGTGGTTTAAAGGTAAAAGATTGTCAAAATCTAAAACAAGCATTTATCTTTCAACAATTCCATCTGCATTTCTCTTGGGAGCTATGGCCCCATGTGTTTAGGAGAGCCACCTATGTCTCTTAGCTCACCTTTTGGCGTTATCTAATTTTAAACTTCTTAGACCATCTCACCCCCCTTATGGGTTTTTATCAACTTTTTATTTATAATAAATTTTGATTAATTGAAAATATAGAACCTCTTTAAGAATCTTTAATTTTTCTTTCCTCCAATGGTTGAATCTAATTAGGGGTTCTTAAAAATAAATAATTAATATTTTAATAATTAATTTATTTTAAATATAATTTATTTTGTTAAAAATTATAAACATACTATATTTTATAAAACCAAAACTATATTGCATTTCATGAAATTTAAACATACAAAATATAGATATTAAAATCATAAAATGTTTAGTTGTAATTTTGAGAAGTGCCAAATTTGTGTCATATATCGATATATTTTTCTATCATGATTTCGAATGCCAATCATTTTGCCGAGATTTGTAGGCATATCTGTAGAATACGTCATATCCACTTTTGAAGTTCTGCTTCTTTTTCCTTGTTCGAATTCTGATACATCAAACAAAGTGTATTCATCTTGTTCGTTTTCTACTATCATATTGTGCAATATGATACATGCTCTCATAATCTTTCCTATTTTTACTTTATCCCAAACAAGATAAATATGAAAGATTATGAGAGCATGTATCATACTGCACAATATGATAGTAGAAAACGAACGAGATGGATACACTCAATTCGATGTATCATAATTCAAACAAGGAGAAGGAAGCAGGACTTCACAAGTGGATATGACGAATTTTGTCGAACTTTTGATCGAACATATTGTCGAATTTTTGATCGAAGACTTCATCAAAACTTTCATCAAGTGATCTGTCAAAACTATTGCTTGAACAAGATGCCATATTTTTGTGAATTTGTTTTTGTTTGATGGAGAAACAAAAGAAGAGATGGAGTTTAAGGTTGAACAAAAGAAGAGATGGAGTTTGATGGAGAAAGAAGAGAAGAGATGGCGTTTGATAGAGAAATAAAAGAAGAGGTGGAGATATGGAGTTTAATCGTTGGTTTCAACACATATATAGATGGAGATATGATGTACACATATGGTTAAAAATTTTGTGGCTTACATACTCTCAAAAATTTTGTGGTGTATTTACTCTCAAGAAATGTTTGTGGTTTACAATACTCTCAAAATTTGTGGTTTACAATACTAGAAAACAAAACCAAAATGGATCCTCCGATGATCAACACACAACACGAAAAAAAACCAAAATGTACCCTCCAATAATCTCCAATGATCGTTGAAGAAGATTTCGTGAGCCATATTTATAACATCATTCTCATTCTGGCCACTTGATTGCTCTTACATTGCAGCTTCATAGCATCCAACGAACTTGCATACTTGGTCATATAACCTCCCCCACCTTTGCTTATAGTGACTGACCTCTCTATTTTGCAGACCAACAAGTTGTGGAGTAGAGTTAAAATAAGCTTGAATGCATTTCCAAAACGCTTCAGCTTTTTGCGCATTCCCAACAACTGGATCCTTTCTGGTGTTCAACCACGCACTGATGAGCACAACATCTTCTTTGGGTGTCCATTTCCTTATTTTTTTACGCTCCTCAACACCTAGGCTTGGATCATCAGTACATTGGCTACTAAACAGAGGGACTTCTGATGATCCAAGTTCTATACTAAGCGAAAAACTCTCATAATGATTGGGGTGAAGTTTTTAGCAATCAATGACAAGTATTGATCACAGAGAGCTTTAACTCTTTAACCTAATCTAAAACTACCTAGTATTGATCACAAAGAGCTTAAAGTCTTTACCTAATAAACAGCTAACAAGCATTTTTCACAAAGAAGTGTTTTGGCAATCAATATAATAGTTAACAAGCATTTATAACAAAGATTATCTAACAGATTATTAGTACTAACTGTTTAGCTAACTATGTCTACTAAACGATTCAGTTATTTATCACAAAGGTTATTCAACATGAACACAAGAAAATATGTATGTTAAAGGATTCAGTTATTGAAAAATAGACAATTATAAAAACTTATAGTATATTTATAAAACTAACCAGATCATTACTTGCTAATTTGGGGACTAGAGTCGATGGAAAGGGCACAGCTCCTTAGACAAGAGATAGAGAGCTGACAGTGAAAGAAACTCTCCGATACTCTGACCCAAACTCGGCGATGGTGACCAGCAATAGTCAAGATGATGATCACGGCGGCGAACAATCGGAGATCCATAATTTTCGACCCATTTCTCCACTCAAATCAGAATATCCCCCAAATCGCTTTCGGTTTCGCCTTCGGCAATACAAATGAAGAAACATAGAAAATGTCAAGGAGAGAGAGCGTCCAAAATCTCTGTAAAAAAATTCGCGTGTCAAGATTTCTTCTGCTAATACCTACTTTCCACGTGGCGTTAGTTAAAGATATATTAGTTTTTAAGGCAATTTTTAGGATATAGGGTATTAGGGTTGGTTCTAAATGAAGTTTTTGAAAAAAAAATAAACAGATTAAATCATTAAAATGTGCTATCTACCTGATTATC